CACCATTCTAGCCACTTCGTCGCTATAGTTCAATGAGTTAACGTTTCTGTAAAATGAAACTGTACATACCTTTTTTCCTTACGAAATTAGAAGCTCCACGAAATCAAATACAAATTTGAAATTGCCATAAATACGTACCATAAATGACCATAAATGCGTGACTAACTACTTAAAAATTGTTCGCACTGGGTACCAGAGTTTAAAATTCAAATGGGAAGGACATGTCATGTGTTGTATGGACAATTGGGCAATGTGGCTACTTTTACCTGTAAAGAGAATTTATACCTCCAATGTAGTAGTATTGCTAAAGGTGCGTTCCTTTGGGAAGTTAGCGATCCAAGATCACTCGGATCATGGTGCATCAAGGGAGCCGATGAATCCTATCTCAGAGTGGCTTCATCGGTTCCTTTTGATGCGTCATGATCTGAGTGATCTTGTATCACTAATCTTGATCCAGATCACCCAAAGGAACGCACACTAAAAGTCGGATTTTCATTAAAGTACCGCAGAACTGCGCTTACCGGCCGAACCATTAGAATATGCTGTATTAAACAACACTGTCTTTTGAGCCTTTAAGCGTGACCAATAAAATTATCTGGGGTAAAGGCAACCTCATTTCCAACTGTCAAGTGTTTCTGATCGTCATATCAAGCACTTCATGTATCTAACTTTTTTTTAATTTTTTTGCTAGCGCATAGTAATCAAGATATATGAGTGATGCCACAAGACTCTTTAGAAAATAGCCTAACGAAAATACGCGTGCTGATTGGTTTAAAAGCGTCTTTCTATACCTCGTGTTGTATCGATCCATACTCTTTATTTTGATCCTTTGATAGATTCCGAGATATGACAATGTTGTTCTAAGAGTTAACTCCGTGTTCAGATAGATATTTTCCGTAATACAGAGATAGATCAATGTCCACGCTAGACTCCTTTCCGTTCTCTCCGATTCCTTTTCTGCACACGTTTTTCAAGTGCCAATCACGAGACTCGACTCAGACCTCGCAGGTCAAACCAGCTCCAGTCCCTAACTTATTTACAACACCTCGTTACAGTGCACCACTAAATTTTCTCCAATTCTTATTGATTTAAATTGATCACGTGACAAGATAGTTATCATCGAGGGAGAAAAACTATCTGCCCAAAGTGCCCGTCCGAGGAAAATACCCGGATAGATAGTACCCGTAGGCGATGTTTCTGTGAACAAGAGGGCTTATAGGAAAAATAATTGAAAGGCGCCATGTGTCTGTTTTCAAATGTTACATTTGGCTTTCAAGCCTTTCATCTATTAATAACACAGTATGATTTTTGAACTGGCGCGCGGAAGAAAATTTAGTGGCGAACAATAACGGCAATGCAGTGTTTACGTCTCAAACTTATCGGTCTGATAGTTGCCCGGCGGCAACATAATTGTTAAAATAGGAACACACAACTAACACGAACTGTTGACGTAATGATGGCGCAAGCAGAGAGAATTTACGTTTTGATGATCAATTACAC